CCCCCTTTTTTTTTTTTGCATTCTGTAGGCGTCTGTCTTGGCCATCAGCCTAAAAACCTTTTTCGCTGATCTCATGTATACGCAAATTTACATTCCCTTTTTTATCTGACTCCTTTCTTTTTCTCAATTTTTGTCTAAACCTCCCATCGCCCTTAAGGGGCCTGACACTGCCGTCGCTCGATTTCCTATCTGTTTTGTTTCGTATTTGTGATCACCACCAAAACCCCAGCGTGTTTTGTCATCTTGTCAGCCATGATTTGTTTTGGAGACCTCACTAGCGAGTGGCATCGCCATCTATGTGTGCGCGTCACTGTTTCCGGTACTACCTCATAGTTTCCCATTGATACAGGATCTGGACTATCGATTGCCACCAATGTATATGTATCATTGGCGTACGTGCTATATGTACATAAAAGCGTCGTCCTTCAACACAACACCCCCTGTTTAAGTAGCCCGAATGGATTTTAATCAAGCACACTACTGTTCGGAGTGAGAGTGTACGTAGTAGTAGAAGATAGTGAATGAAATTGATCTATGAGACTCCACCAGTGGGAGATAGGTCAGCAATTTTCATTCATTGAATGAATGCACAATGGAACACAATAAATGCCGCATTACGAACCACAATTCTCAGGCAATCCTCTGAGACGAAGAGGAAATCGTTAATTCTGAGCATCAATTTAATTCCTCCCCACTCACTGACCAAGTCGTCGTTGTTCTGATGGGACCCCTTAATCGACTAACGTCCTTCCTAAATTAGGTACATTAATACCGATCTACAAATTACAAGATACGTACTAAAATTACATACATACCGTCATTCGACCCACCGGCCAAAAAAGCTCCCCGCATCAAACCACCTCCAACCACGCGCAGAAAAAAAAAATTAAAATAAAAAGGGAAAAAATAAGCCACATACATCCCCGCTACGATGAAGGACAGCAAAGGGTGGGACGGAAAACTGAGAGTCGGTCCCCAGGCAACTATTACGAATCCAGAGGCAATAGAAGACCCGGATTATTCGGATGAGGATGCGCCGCCGGTAGAGGAGATCGAGGCCGACGAAGGTATGTTATTTGATCAGATTACGGGTTTGGAAGTGGGTGCTCATTTGGATCCTTTGTGGTAGACTTGCTAGAGGATGAGGACAAGGATACCGAGGTGCGTGAATCTTTTTGTCTGCTGGTTCAAGCGGTGTGAGAACCGAAACTGACCGAGTGAGTGTTTATCTAGGAGATCGACCTCGTCCATTGTCGTATTGCGTCCGTTCCGGCTTTACATCTAGAGCGATTCCCTAAAGTACAGGTACGATATCGGTGTGCGCCGTGAATGAAAGTGGAGGTTGGCGATCAGGACCAGGAATTAACGGCGGGGTTTCTAGAGAATATGTCTGCGGCAGAACCAAATAACGCGGATCGCGTTTCCTCCTGAAATCGCCGGGTCGCTGGTCGAGCTCGATCTCTACGATAACCTTATTTCGCATGTGAAGGGCCTGGATGAGTTCAAGGATCTGACTAGTCTGGACCTGAGCTTCAATAAGATCAAGCATATCAAGAACATCTCGCATCTGGTCAAGTTGACGGACTTGTATTTTGTGCAGAACAAGATTTCGAAGATTGAAGGGCTAGAGGGGTTGACGTTGTTGAGGAATTTAGAGCTGGGTGCTAATCGAATCAGGGTGGGTGCTTCGATTGCGAGAGTGGGTGCATGGGAGGGTTTTTATGCTGACCGGATGGGTGGTAGGAAATCGAGAATCTCGAGTCGTTGACGTCTCTGGAGGAACTGTGGCTCGGGAAGAATAAGATCACTGAGTTCAAGGTATGTCGTGTTCCCGCGTGCTGGGGTTTGGGGGGTTGGCGTGTTGACGTTCTATAGAATCTGGATGCTTTGCAGAACCTCAAAATCCTCTCTATTCAGTCGAACAGACTCACTAGTTTGAACGGACTCTCCTCCCTCAAGAACCTCGAAGAGCTTTACGTCTCTCATAACGCTATTACCGAGCTCAGCGGTCTCGAATCGAACACCAATTTACGCGTTCTTGACTTCTCGAATAACCAGGTCTCCAAGCTCGAGCATCTGTCGCATTTGAAGAACCTGGAGGAGCTCTGGGGATCGAACAACCAGTTGTCTAGCTTCGATGAGGTGGAGAAGGAGCTGAAGGATAAGGAGAAGCTACAGACGGTCTACTTTGAAGGCAACCCATTGCAGACGAAGGGGCCCGCGGTGTACCGGAATAAGGTGCGCTTAGCGATACCGCATATTATGCAGATTGACGCTAGTAAGTGCAGTCTTCCAGGGCTCCGAGTGTATGCGTATACTGACAGTCGTAGCGTTTGTGAGAATAGCTTAATTACCATACAAGGACTGGCATGGCTGATGATACAATGGCAATCATGGTTAATGGAAAGCGGATTTCATTCCTATACATCTCCTATGTTACATGTAGATTAAGAGAAACTTCATTTTCTCTGTGTTCACGGTGTCATACCTCGCTTTGAGGAGGTATACTTCGAGCCTGCTCGAACTCTGGACCGATCTACAGATCGTTCATAGCCTGACGGGCACTAGCTGAGCATCGCTCAACAGTCGTGCCGGGAAAGTCTCTCTATCCGCCCTGGAAGACAGCGATGCAGCATCACGCCCAACAAGACCAACAGAGCATTCTAATGCGCGCATGCACACTCACACGCATGTCGCATTGCCCAAGCCAGCAAAAAACCATCCAAATAAACCTCAGCGCACAGAACAAACCACCCAAACCAACCCATCCTCAATCCACCTCCATCTCCTTACCCTCAACCGTTCTCTCCCCAGAATTCGACCCATCCCTACCCTCTTCACCCCTAAGCCCCCCCTCATAAAGCGCCATCAAACTCGTAGCCCCCAACCGCTCATTCTCTGCCTGCACCTTCCTCTTCACCTTAAACGGCTCATGACTCTTCCTCGCCATCGGCACATCCGCCAATTCCCTCAACGGAATCCCCGTCTTCACCAAATCCCTCGCCTGCCAACTCTTCCCATTAACATGGAACAACGTATGGAACGGGTTCCGCCGCAGCGCAGACTCATGGTTATGTCGCGACGGCTGGATAGTGCAGGTTATATGAGACTGGACGGCGGCATTTTCACTCGAGGCCCAGGGATCCGGGGAGGGCGTTCCTGGTTCTCTAGGTGGTAGATGCGATTGCGATTGAGGTTGTGGTGGTGGTTGAACAAGAGGGATTGTGAGTGGGGAGGCGGCGATGGCTTGCGATGCGGAGGAGGGCGATTCGAAAATCGCGATGATAGATCGAGAGGCGGGGTTTTGGGATGTGTTTGTCGTGTCGTACTTTTCATTTTAATTTCATTCTCTTGTTAGTTATTGATTTTGGATGAAGGTCGTATGGTATTTTAGAGTGTTTTTACCTTGAGGTTGCGGAAGGTCACTACTTCGCCGAATTTCTGGAGCGCGGACAGGATTTGTTTGCTTTCTGTTAGGGAGCGTGGCATTGGGGTTGTTGTTATGTGGATTGATTGGCTTGCGAGGCGGGTGGCCATTTTTTGTTCTTTTTTATTGCTTTCTTTTTGTTTTTGATTTTTTTGGTCTTTGGTGGTTTGGGGTGTTGTAGTTGTGGTTGGATTGGGGATTGAGGGAGTGGAGTTGGAGAAAATAATTGATGGATTGATTGATTGATTGATTGATAGTCTTGATAAGGGAGCTTGGTCTTGGCGTGGGATTTGTAGTTGGGAAACCCGATCAGGTAACTCAGGTATGGTATACTAGGTGAAGAGTCCTCTATTATGGAGATTTCAGCAATGTACCGGTTCGAATTGGTTGGTTATCTTCTGGTGGAAAATGTATCAAGCCAACGCTAGAATGTTTGATCTTAAGCATAACAATTGTACGGAGGAATGATTGACAGGGTGAGTCGGCCGTACAGACTAAATCTTTAGCGGCCGAAAACGCATATCGGCCCTAGTGGGCGGTAACGTCCGAAAGGAATTACTACGTTACCATTACTAGGCATAGGTAGATATCATTTATGGTCTTTGTCAATGGGGTTTATCATAGCTATATACTCAAATCATCATGTACATTTTTACATCGCAAATCATCACGCATCTCTCAGGTGCAAGCGTCCATCTTAGAAGATAGGAACATACATCCCGTATCCAATAGGGTCATTGAATCGCAAGCCCTTGTCCAACGAGCTGATGGACTCCAACTCACTCTTCTCCAGATCGAAACCAGTGACCTCCAGGTTCTGTGACAGACGGGTGGGGTTGTTGCTCTTTGGGATGACAGCAATGCTGCGCTGGGTAGCCCAGCGCAGCAGCACCTGAGCCGGGGTCTTGCCATACTTCTCGGCGAGGCTCTTAATGGTGTTGTGCTCGAACAAAGGTGGGGTATCGACGGCATTCTTCACCTCCAACTCGAGGAAGCTCAGAGGTCCGAAAGACGAGTACGCAGTGACAGCGATGCCCTCCTTCTGGGCATACTCGACCAGACGGGGCTGGGTAAGGTAGGGGTGGTGTTCAATCTGGAGGGTAGCGGGACGGACGCGCGCATACCGGAGGAGGTCCATGAGCAGCTGGGCGCTGAAGTTGCTAACGCCAATGCTGCGAGCGAGCTGCTTGTCGACCAGCGACTCCATCGCCGTCCAGGTCTCCTGGATGGTAGCGTTGCTGAATTCGATCTTGCCGCTCTCCGAGTTCCATCCAGGTGGGTAGCGGACAGCCGGGTCAACGTACTTCAGGGCAACGGGAAAGTGCACGATGTACAGGTCGAAGTAGTCGACGCCCCAGTCAGCCAGCTGCTTGCGGCAGACGGGCTCAACGCGGTCGCCCTCGTGGAAACTGTTCCACAGCTTGGAAACAATGAAGAGATCCTCGCGCTTGACAATGCCCTCCTTGATGGCGCGGGCGACACCCTGACCGCATTCGACTTCGTTGCCGTAGTCTGCATAACCGTATTAGATCATTTGAAGGATTTGCAGCAGGAGGTGGTCACATACCGCATGCGCCGTCAAAGAGACGATATCCCGCCTTGATGGCCTCGTAAACCTGGTCCGCGCATGTCTCGTTGTTTACCTTCCAGAGGCCAAAACCCACGAGGGGCATGTCAAATCCGCTGTTCAGCTTGACGGTGGGAGAAGCCATGGTGACGATTGTGTGTAGAGATTGCGCTTAACGAGAAGAACGACAGCGTGACTGCAATTGAGAGGAGAGTACAGAGTGTTAAAAGAAAGGAGAGATGTGTCCGCAAAGAAAAGGAGGGGCATAAATCAGCATTTGGAGATTGTCCCGCGCATATTCTTCCAAAAAGCCCTCATTTGGGGTACAGCCATACCCACTCGGGATAAATGCGATATGGTCCAGGCCAGCCGGGCCGACAAGGCCACTCACATGAGGAGGAATGGAACTGTCTTGAGGCTAAAGTGACGCTCAACGAGATACTATTCTGGCTAAATGAAGGTCTCCGGGTAAATACAGACAAGCGACAAACCCAATTGGTCACTGTCCGTGTTGGATCCACCACGGGACCCAAATTCCACCAATTATTCAAGGATAAAGTATGAAACACAACACACTCCGTACATTGGACGCCTTTGGTATTAAAATGATATTGTGTATAAGTACAGAATTGGTATCAGACTAAAACTACATCACAAAGTTGAGAAAAAAAAACTAATAAGCCCCCTGGCAGAGCATGCTCCCGTATCCCCCACAAAACTCCGGTGCCAGAAACTAAAACAGAAAATCCCGAAACCCAGCGACACTTTTGGTTGCCATTATTATCATCAAGGAACATCCTTCGTCCAAATTATAAATTAGTTCTTCGTTATGCGGCCTCGACCGCATTGTTCTCAGTATAGGTATGGTTAATGTGGCCATGACCCGCGCCATGCATACCAGGATCACCAGACATACTCCCCACGATGAGATCGTCTGGGCCCAGTAAGACCTCAAAGTGGTTGGGCTGATGGGACTCTCGAGAGACAGACGGCACATGGTGATCAGAAAATTGCAGGTGGCTATAGTTGCTCGAGCCAACATCAGTGATACTCGAGGTTGGAGTCGGCCAAGGTGCGTGGGTCTGACTCATCTCATCGATGGATTGAGTGCTGGACCCAAATATGCCATTGTTTAAGACATGGCTGTTATCAGGCATGCTCACCCCAGGATGCTGGGACGTTCCGTAGTGGTTATCATGCCCGCTAAGGTTGTACGCATTGAGATTAGTGTGTGAAAGTGACATGTCGGGTATGCTAAGCATTCCTGGTCCTCCAGTAGAACCATTGAGGCTCGTTGGCTGGCTGACTTCAGGTTGCAGATTAGGGTAGGTGTCTAGCACTGAGGTGACGGCAGTCTTGTCATGAAGGCCACCCTCTGGCTTGGTGATAGAGTTGAGAAGGTCAAAGCCTCCGGGTGCATTGAATATGCTGTCCTGCGACGGTTGGTACATCGACCATTGAGGTTGCGAAGCACCACCGTGATGCACCAAGTCGTGTGACTGAGGGGCTTGGTAAATGCTTGGGGCCGGCCTAGCTAGAGAGTTTGTATCAAAGGACAAGGGAGGGAGGTCGATCCCCGTTACGGGCTTCGGGCTAGGGATAGTATTACGGTCGGAAGTTGGCGAAGTGACCCGGCGCCATGTGGTAGTGCCAACTTCGTTCGGTCGCGTTTGCCGGAATTGCCAAAGCAGGATGGCCATTCTTTTGCTGTCATCCTGGGAGTTGTCAGGGTAGTGGTTCGATAGCCGACGAGAACTAGGAGTAGCCCGTATTTCTTGAACTACCGTTAATGTGCGGAAGTAGTCTCTCGTTTGCCTATCAGCAACCTCGTTTACTTGTCTGTCCTGAGCGAGTTCCGTGAGTTCCGTGAAACGCTTTGCCCACCACGAAGATTCAAATGGAGGTTTCACTTTGTTCGACTGCTGTTTCGGGAGGTTATGGTGTGCCTTGAATACATTTTGACCTTCCTCATAGATATACGTGCTGCACGACCAATTCTCCATCTGGTTCGTCAGTGCATCGCCGTTGCAAGGCTGGGCGAAGTCCAGCTCTAGCTGGATCCCAAGTTTCGAGCCGGACGGAGGGAAATCATCCATCAATCGAAGATTGGCCTCCAGTAAGATGATCTCACAGTTCAGTGGGTTGTTAACATCTGCCATGACGGAGTTGAGATGGGGAAACAATGTCCGCCAGTTGGAGATATTCTCCAAACGTTTTGGGGGTGCACCGGGATGACGTTGGTCCCCTTGGAGGCGGGTGTAGGTATGGAATGCACTCTCAATCCGCTCTGGCTGACTCGGCGCGCTCACCCACATGTCAAAGCTGAGGCCATAGATCATATTAACGTTCGTTCCCTCGGAGTGCAAATTTGGATTGAAAACAACGTGTGGAGGGGGCAGCTCCCCGGAGTAAGATTGCACCGGCCTCAACGAGTCATGATAGGAGGGATAACTGTGACTATTGTAATGGCTGGAGAATGGGAGTTCCATCGAATTTCTCCAGCGAGGACCGGCTGATGGTGGCTGGCCATTCGAACGCTCTGCCGGTTGCTCCCGTACAAGCCTCTCCCCTGCAAATGCCTAGTTAGATCTGAGTCTATCTCATCGAAGGCGGTCTAGACAGGACATACAATCAGGATCACCTTTGAGAAAAGAATCAAGGACTTGCAGGTGGCTAGACACCTGCTTCCTCGACCTCCTTTTCCCAGTAGTTTTGTAGATGTACTCGGCTATCAGTTCATTTCGACCATAGGATTTCCCACGTTCAGACCATTTCCTTCTCCCCATCGGGGGATTCGCCTCAAGGGCTGATATTGTTAGAACATTCTCCTTATGTGGCAGCTGTCATCGTCTCACCTTGCTGGAAAGCATCCTCAAGCTCATCAGACCAAACAGGTTCCCCATCCTTTCCAGTATCCCGGCGAGGCCGTGCCCTGTACTCTATGTACTTTTGGGACTTGAGATAACTTCTTGTCCTGCGGGGTCCAACCAGGTTAGGACCAAGTGATTGGAGACGCCGCAGTTTCTTTGTATGGAAACGGTTGTTTATAACTTGTTGGGGATGGAGACCGGTAGTGGTAGGCATTGGGTGAGTTGGGACCGGGGGTTGATGAGGATACTTGAAACCATAATGTGAAAAATGGTCGTCACGCCCAGTGGGGTCGGTGTGCGCCAGGGTGTCTGAGTAGGACTGTATGTTCCCCGAGGTGTTCTGAAGCACTCGACCTGGATGGGGTCCTACACCTTCAAGACCTGGATGGGTTGGAGGCAACATACATTCGGTCTGCCACTCAGCCATGGAGCGGATCACCTCGAATAGGCTCTCGGAAGAATGACAGATTCCACAGAGTAGGAAGATGAGGGTCACAAATACTTCTTGTCCGGCAAAGAACGCAGTTACTGGAAAATATGTAAGAACCTGGAAAAGAGAATGTTCGGGCGAAGAGCATGATGTTTATAGGGAACCCATTCCCTCCCCTGTTGAAGGAGCGCGAAGGTAGCCCCAGCAGCTACATTGCTGGACCACGCTGCTTGTTTGGGGAAACCCCCTCGAGGGTAGCATCCGTAGCCCTAGGCGCGGGGAACCCTTGACCTGAGCTTCACGCGTCGATCAGGGCGATGAGAGAGGGACGAGCAGGTGCCGCCTTGTTGCAGCAAATCAGGAGGAAGGGTGATGCACTGTGGACGCCGGCTATCTATGCAAGGGGACAACCAGGGT